ATGAAGAGCCAAAATAGCTGTGGATGGAATGCGAAGAGCCACATATTATATATTTATCTTTATATATCTATAGCTAGATAGATACATATAGTACACAAAATGTAGTGATAAAAATAACATTACAGGACATTTCGGACAAAAACCAATTAAAAAGTCTCTAGTCACCTAAAAAAATCACATTCAGTCTGTAGATCTTCAGAGAACTTGACAAGGAACAAACATCAAATAAAAAAAACCCCTTTAAAAATACAGTGATAGTCTCACATTTAAAAAAAAAAAGCATCCCCACCATGTATTTTAAATTTCACACTACTTCCCTATTATGTCCTCTGAGTTTTTTTAAATTAAACTGAACCGAGAAGCAAATTAGCTCAATTTGAAGTGCCTGTTTCACTCCAGTTTGTTGACCTCTGGTATGGTTTCATATCATTTTTTTTTTCCTTATGAAGATTTTGGCTTTTTTGTAGTTCTAAAAATTCAGGTTTGTCCCAGACTGCAAATATGAGAGGTTCAAAAACAATAAGGGAGAGACTCGTATCTCAGAACAATTGCTTCAGCCAGGGAAACAATAGCCTTTGAATGTTCTTTAAAGAAACACCATGCAAACCAGGTACATGCTGATTCTTTTTTTGCCCTGGAATTTAAATATGACATCTGTGTTGGCTGCCTTATTCTGAGTCTGCGAAGACTTTGAATTTAAGGAGCTTCAGCCCCCAGCCATAACCCAGTGCTCCACCCCTCTCACAGAGCTATGCACCCTCAGCCTCCCTGTTCTAACCCAATCCCTCTTCTCTCCCCCAGAGCCAGGCCCTCCCACCCCCAGCCTAGTGCCTGGGTCCCAGAGCTGCTGCCGCTGCCACACACTTCTCCCTTCAGGCACTGGGCACATGCGCAAAGTGTTTGGCTATGAGCAGGCACTGGGACGCTGCTGGCTGTCAGCGATCCTGGCACATGGCTCAGAAACAGCAGGAGCCGCATTTCCTTAATCAAAGAGCTACATGCAGCTTGAGAGCCGCGGGTTGGCCACCCCTGCCATAAATCGTGCCCGATTGAGCGGGAGGAAGAACTCCTAACATGCTCAGGCTGATGTCTGCGTGGACCTTCTTTTAGAGACACATGTTACCCAGCAATTGCTAGATAGTGGGAGAATGCTGACTATGAGGTTTCCTGGGCTCTGTGCCTCGCTTCAGGAGCAGCATGTGGCTGCTGTTTAGAGCAGTTGTCCCTGACAGCACAGACCTGGGGCACTTTCCCAAAGGAAGTCTGGCTGCGAGTTGTGATTGGCTCTGCCATATTTGGGTTCTTCCCGCAACTTTGCCAGATATGTTCTTATCGGGAAATGGTGATAGTACTTGCTTCAAGAGGATGGAGACGGCACAAACCTTACCCAATGAGGAGAGGTGTGCAAAAATAGTGACAGCACTGAGCAACAGAGGTGAGACTGCACCTCATGTGTGCCTGTCTTTCAGCACTGTGCATCTGCTTCAGGCCCAGGCTGTTTTGTGGGTCACTCTTTCATAGATGATTTTATCCCAGGATGGTGAAAAATTGAGCTTGTGGGCTTCCCCCCGATGGCAGTGGGTCCCCAGTAGCACCTGGGGCGAGGGCATGGTCCTATAGACATCTAACCTGTCTGGCTTTTCTTCTCTTGGACTGAGCCTGGCCCATGAGCCATGTTGCACTGTGTGGACAGGGGATGGGGGCTGTTGGGGAGTGTGCACAGAAAGATGGGGAAATGCAACAACCCAGGCTGAGATTCCTGAGGTCCAGTGTGTGTGTTTTCTGGTGAGCTATTGGTGAAAGGAAAGAGACTATTCAGATTGCTTCCCTGTGCATCCTGTGTCGAGCACAAGGGACTCCTGACCTCACTCAGTCTGCTCCCAGAATATAGACAGGCTCCACTTTTAGTAGCACACCACCACAGAACTGTAGGTTTAGGTGATTTCTGTGGCAGCTTGACAGAATGGGGCAGAGCTCTAATAGCCCTGCAGATACTTGACTGACAGTCAGCCCCAGGTGCCCTCCAGTGGGTCACAGCCCAGGGGAGCAGCTGTTGTAGTAAAAATGATTGTTTCCACAACCACCTCCTGGAGCAATCATCCCTGAGTGGGGACAAGCCAGGAGCAGTGTCTTCTATCCCCATTTCTCAGGCTCTATGCAACAAGAAGCTGAGGACATCCAACCCGTGGGCAGACATTCAGAATTGGGCCTGGACTCAAGCTAAATGCTCTGAAAAGGAGGAGCTGGAATGTGTGGGCCCCAGAAAATTGAAGGAGCGAAAGTCTTTTACACTCTTTATTTGCTGCCAAGACTGGCTTCTGCTTTATGTTTAGTATTGGCTTTTCAAGGAGCAGGTTCAGTAACAGTAACCAACCCCAAGCTGCCAGAAGACAGGCCTGAAAAATCGGGTTTTCAAATCATACAGTTTTCAAACACTCAGCATTGGATTGTTTTCTTTTGCCTCTGGTTTTTGGGGTGCTGGTGTTTTAGAACAGAACGGAAACTAGTATGTGCCACTCGGGGAGACTTTGTCGGCTGGTAGGAATTCCAATTTTAGGATCTCTACTAGGGATGTTAAATTGCGTTTAATCAGCTAATTGAGTACTCAATGGAATTTCCATTGACTACTTAATTAGTCGATAATGGGGGAAACTGCAGAGCCACAGTGGGGTTAGCTCCCAGCCCCAGGAAGTAACCCCGCTGTGGCTCTGCCTTTTAAATGTATTAGAGCAGGGGTCTCCTTTTTACACCCAAGATCACTTTTTAAATGACAGAGCAAGCCAAGATCTACCGCCCCACCCCTTCCTTGAAGCCCCACCCTCTCTATTCTCCTCCTCTCCATCACTTGCTATCCCCAACCCTTATACTGCTGCTTTTTTTCTCCCCCAATTCTTCTGTAGGAAGTATTTCCAACATTTGGCCTGTCTAGACTGGACCAAATGTCAGAAAAACCTCTTCTTTTGGAAGCCCCCTTATTCCTCATGGAAACAGGAATTTAGGGGTTACCGAAAGATCATGTTTGCTCTTCCACTAAAAGAAGCGGAAGAACAAATGCATCCCTGGATGCAGAAGAGTTTTCTGGGATATCTCCGGAATCCTGAAAAACTCCTGCAGTCTAGCCTTACCCTTGCTGGGTTGAGGCAGGATGTATAGGCTCTGGGGTGGGAATGAGGGATTTCGGGGTGAGATGCAAGCTTTGGGAGGAAATTTGGATGCAGGAGGAGGTGGAAAAGGGGACACTGGGTTGGAGAGGGGGCTTCAGGCTGGGCAGTGGTGGGGGCAGGATGCAGGAGAAGGTGGAGAAGGGGATGGTGGCTCCGGGAGGGGGCACCAGGCTGGGCAGTATTGGGGTCAGATGTAGGGGTAGGGTACTAAGCAAGCCACAGACTTCTGGACGTGAGAGTTCAGGAATTTGGGTTGGGGTATGTGAGGGGCTCAGGGCAGGGGGGTCCAGTCTATGATAGGCTCAGATCTAGGGTTGGGGGGGGGTGCAGGAGCGTTATGATGCTGTGGCCAAATGGGGGCTTGGCCCCAATTGGGGGTTTGTTGGCCAGGCTTCATTTTTAAATAAAATACCGTGTCAAACACAAAAAGTTTCTGCATTGTCTTTATTTCTGAGAAGGGCAGGGAACCTGTTTTGAGTCAGGGGTCACTGACCCAAGAAAAGTCAGTTGGGGCCACACAAGCGAGATGCAAAAAAACCCCTCCTCCAACCCCTCCCCCCCACCTGCAAGCTTCACTAATGTGGCCCCAGCTGTGTTGGTGGGAACAGGGGACATAGTACTGGGGAAGGGCGCTAGTGGGTGCTTTGGCTGGGGACAGAGTTCTGCAGCTGGGGACAGGGGAGAGGGAACAGGGTGCTGGGAGGGCAGAGGACAGGGTTCTGCAGCAGGGGACAGAGTTCTGTGGCAGGAGAGTGAGGGGAGAGGGACCTGGAGAGTGGGGGCAGGGGCAGGATGCCAGTGGTGACAGAGAGTCCGCTGCATCTGCCTCCTCCCAGGATACACCCCCCCCACTCTGAGGGAAGCTGGCGCGTATCTCCTCCGGGTCTGACTCCCCTCCCCCCACAGCACAGGGAAACCACTCATGCATGCACACACACCCCTCCCCCGTGGTGCAGGGAAAACCCTGTGCACGTCTGCCCTGGGGCCGACTTACCCCTCCTCCGCCGGTGCAGGGAAGTCACCATGCTCCTCCTCCGGGGCTGATGCCCCCACCCACAGCACATCCCCAGAAGTGGCACTAAGCTGCGGGAATTCTATCCACCCGAGGGAAGCCAACACTACCTCCATTTTCGCTGGAGGTAGGTAGTAGGGCTTCTCGGGAGCGGGGGGAAAATGTGGCAGTGGCCCGGGTGCCTCGCGATCGACTGGTCGAGGCCTCGTGATCGATCAGTTGATCACGATCGACCTGTTGGTGACCACGGTATTAGAGGCAGAGGTGCCGTAGGGGGAGCAGTCAACTTATTCCCGGCTTGTGACTGGTCCTCCCCCTCGCCTCCCCCGCTATACCTAGCTCTCCCCTTCCCCCCATGAAGAGGGTGCTGGGAGGAACCAGCTTTTAAGCAGCAGTGGCAGGGGAGTGTCTAGTTGAGTCACTACTCAACTACCCGATAAGCATATGTTTATTGGGTAGTCGTCTAGTTGATTAGTCACTTCCATACCTAGCCTCTCCAGGGGACCCTTTCTACAGCTGTCTAACATTGCTGAATTCTGTCTTTCCCGGAGCAGTAAAAGGAGGCCAGAGACCTGAGGCAGGCTACTCTACTGAGTTCTGGGTTGGCACAGTTCCATCCAATTATAGCCCCTGAGGCTCAGGCCTGCTCAGCAATTTGTTCAGTTCAGGCAATTCTGGGGGAAGGCCAGTGTCTTAGTAGGGGTAGGGGGTTCTGTGAGTCTACCTTTTTGATAAATAAAATGATCAAGAACTATTGAAAGTCTGTATTCAAGTAGCTGATGCCTTGAGTAGCCCTTCAAACCTCCTCTGTGTGTTCCTTACAGTGAATGGATATCACAGCCCTGTGACCCCTATGCATCAAATGGAGCCTGGTCATATGAGTCTCCGAAAACCCAGCGGGGACCACCAGGTAGGTTTTGGGTAACACTCTGAGTAGGAGTGGGCAGGACTAGGGGTAGTTTGTGAGCTCTCTGGTGACACTCCCAGCGAGCATGCTTTAGAAGCCACCAGACCCCAGTCACAGCAGCATGTATGGATCTGAGGAAGGCACGTTTGTATATAGATAGCAAACGGGAGAACCCCACTGTTTCATGAGGTTTCCTCATGGGGCTTTGTGGTGAAAAGAGAGCGACACAAGGAGGCCTTTTGATGTTGAAGCACATGATAGCAATGTGCTTTCAGTATCCCATTCTTTCTCTGCTATTGGGACAGTGGTACCAGAGCTAATTTTGAAAGTGCATTCAAGTAGCTTTGCTGTCAGCACTGGCCTGCTGGTTTACCACCTACTCGCCATGTGTGGGTTGAGCATGTCCATGCTATCCTTACACTTAGAATCCCCTTTTAAAATGTAGCCAAGTAACAGATAACACATTAAACCTTTTCCAGGGGTGGGTGCCAAGTTTGTATAATGTTTGCTGGTGCCCGGAAAGGGTCCAAGTCTCATCCCCACCCACTTTTGCCTAAGGCTTTGGGAGGGTGTTTGGGTGAGGGTGGGATGCAGGAGACCGGCAGGGAGTTTGGGTTGGGGCAGATGGTTGGGTGTGGGAGGAGGTCAGGGTGTCAGCACTTACTTCAGGTGGCTCCCAAAAGCGACTGGCAGAGTCCTCCCATGGGGGTGGGAGTGTGTATCTCTGCACTGCTATTCACAGGTATCATCCCTGTGGCTCCTACTGGCTGCAGCAGAGAGGGGTGCAGGGGGAAGTGGGTGCAGGAGCTCAGTGAAGGGGTTCATAGTGGAGTGCCAGAGTTCTGCAGTGGGGGCTCTGCAGAGAAAGACTCAGTGCTCAATAGTGTGGGGTGCAGTGTGGAAAGGTTTAGTGGAGGAGGGTGGGCAGGAGCTGGGGAAAGGGTACAGGATCTCAGCTAGGAAGGGATGCAGGACTTGGAGTTTGGGGCGGGGGGTAGCATTCCCTGTAAGTTGAGCTCTTTGGCAGCCATCCAGGAGAGATTCAGGTGATGCCCAGCTGATCAGCAGAACACCCACAGCTGTCAGCATGTGTTTATGTTGGTGGTGCACATCCACACATGACGTGGTGCATATAACAACATTTATTCTGCACATGAATGGAAAAAATCAGAGGCGACATTGGTTGGGGGTGCAGGGTAGAGGCTCAGTGGGGAAAGAGGGGTCAGCGGAGCAAGGATAGTGCCTCGTGGTCCTGGATGTCCAGGGCAGCTCCTCAATCCTGCATCACTCCGTTGCCTGCTGCTGCTTTCCTCAGCTAGACATGTGCCTTTCACTGATTCGCTGTGTGGCTCAGACCAGGCTCACCTGCAGACCCTTGTGCTATGCAGCATATACTGACAGTGCTTCTCACCTCTCTCCACAGAGTCCAGGGTCCCCGCGTGTGCCCAGGAGGCTGGCCAGGGAGAGCTCACAGACAGTAAGTACCACCAGGATGGTTGGCAGCGGCGCAGGCGGGGGAAAGCCTGGGCAGTGATCCCTGCTGCTATACTGAGGGTTGGTAGCAGGCAAGCCAGCCCCTGGGGCAGGGCAGGGCAGCCTGGGAGGGCAAACAAATTCCTCAGTGGGTGGGGTATTCCTGGGACAGCCAATGCAACCAGAAGACACATTTCTAAAGCTCAGCCCAGGGGCTCCCTGCTCTGTTGTAAAGGGGCACTGAAGAAAAAAACAGCTTTAACAAAATAGCCTCCATTATATACATTGATGGTGTCAAACCAGTTCCTAGCACAGTGGCCAGATAGAATTGTATGCATGCAATAGAGGCCCCAAGTCTTAGTGAGCAATAGATATTTATGTACTGTGAGCCTAGCAGGGCTGCCTTCGGACAGAAGCCAGGATCATTTGTAGACAAGCCTATTCTGCCTGCAGAAAGTCTGTTCTGTGAATGAATGGAAATCTTAATTCCTCCAAGCTACCAGGCCAGTATCATTCACCAGCACTGAAAGTCACACAGCAAAGAATGATACACAACCAAGTGATAGTTTAACAAGAGAGATCTGTGCCCTGTGATATCATTCATCCCTATGGTGTGAGGACTTCTGCCAAGAGTCTCTGTCTTATTTTCCCATTGTATTTGCTTCTAATCATGTGTGGGCACTGAATTCCCCAGATTTGGAAGCAAAAGTTTATTTCCATTCCTTCAATGATAGAGCTGAAATTGACATTTTTGAGCAATTGGTAAGGAATGGTGGCTCCGCAAAATAATAACCTAGTGATAAACACTTCCAAATTAAGTGTAAAAATGTAAGAAGAAAAGCCAAAAAGGAGTTTGAAGAACAGCTAGCCAAACCTCAAAAGGAAATAACAAAATGTTTTGTAAGTACATCAGAAGCAGGAAGCCTCCTCTACAGCCAGTGGGGCCCCTGAACGATTGAGATCCAAAGGATCACTTAAAGACGATAAAGTCATTGCAGAGAAACTAAATGAATTCTTAGCTTCAGTCTTCATGGCTGAGGACGTTGGGGAGATTCCCAAACCTGACCCGTCCTTTGTAGGTGACAAATTTGAGGACTTGTCACAGATTGAAGTGTCAATAGAGAAGGTTTTGAAATTAATTGATAAACTAAACAATAACAAGTTGATATCTGCTCTTGGGGGTGGGGGGAGGGCGCTGCTGCCGCCGAATGCCAGGCGAACCATGCAGCTAGTCTAGGGCTGCCCTTGCTAATATCAGTACCAGGCAAATTAGTTGAAACCATAGTAAAGAATAAAATTGTGAAGCATGTATAAGAACATAATTTGTTGGGCAAAAGTCAACATGGTCTCTGTAAAGGGAAATCGTGTCTTACTAATCTATTCGAGTTCTCTGAAGGGGTCAACAAACATGTGCACAAGGGGGATCCAGTAGATATAGTGTACTTAGATTTCCAGAAAGCCTTTGACAAGGTCCCTCACCAAAGGCTCTTACGTAAATTAAGTTGTCATGGGATAAGAGGGAACTTTCATGGATTGAGAACTGGTTAAAAGACAGGAAACAAAGGGTAGGAATAAATGGTAAATTTTCAGAATGGAGAGGGGTAACTAGTGGTGTTCCCCAGGGGTCAGTCCAAGGACCAATCCTATTCAATTTATTCATAAATGATCTGGAGAAAGGGGTAAACAGTGAGTTGGAAAAGTTTGTAGACGATACTAAACTGCTCAAAGTAGTTAAGACCAAAGCAGACTATGAAGAACTAAAGATCTCACCAAACTAAGTGATCGGACAATAAAATGGCAAATTAAATTTAATGTGGATAAATGCAAAGTAATGCACATTGGGAAAAATAATCCCAACTATATATATAATATGATTGGGGCTAATTTAACTACAACTAATCCGGAAAGAGATCTTGGAGTCATTGTGAATAGTTCTCTGAAGATGTCCACGCAGTGTGCAGTGGCAGTCAAAAAAGCAAACAGGATGTTAGGAATCATTAAAAAAGGGATAGAGAATAAGACGGATAATATTTTATTGCCCTTTTATAAATCCATGGTACACCAACATCTTGAATACTGTGTACAGATGTGATCGCCTCAACTAAAAAAAGATATAGTGGCATTAGAAAAGGTTTAGAGAAGGGCAACTAAAACGATTAGGGGTTTGGAACGGGACCCATATGAGGAGAGATTAAAGAGACTAGGACTTTTCAGCTTGGAAAAGAGACTAAGGGGGGATATGATAGAGGTGTATAAAATCATGAATGGTGTGGAAAAAGTGAATAAGGAAAAGTTATTTACTTGTTCCCATAATATAAGAACTAGGGGCCACCAGATGAAATTAATGGGTAGCAGGTTTAAAACAAATAAATGGAAGTTCTTCTTCACACAGCGCACAGTCAACTTGTGGATCTCCTTGCCTGAGGAGGTTGTGAAGGCTAGGACTATAAGGCTGTGTCCAGACTCAGGGGTTTTTTCGAAAAAAGTAGCCTTTTTTCGAAAAAACCTCACCTGCGTCTAGACTGCAGCCGCGTTCTTTCGAAATTAAATCGAAAGAACGCGGCTTTTCTTTCGATGGCGGTAAACCTCA